TGTAGGTACGGGCTGTGATGCGGCGTAGTGATGTGATACTCACAGGATAGGCTGCGTAACTGAACTCGATCTGTGGTTATATATGAAATCCAAAGGTAGTGATGATCAAGAAGGCTAATAAATAGCAAGTATTCTATCATCTTCTACCCTTAGTCAGATAAAACTGCCTCTTATATGCGGTTGAAATTCAAAATGTGGAAACGAATCAAACAGGTAGTCATTCACAGTGAGTAGGTAGTAAACTGAAGGCTATTCGACAGCCAGTGAATTCGCACCAATATGTGTAAGTCTGCCTCACTATCTGCTTCATCCATTTTCAAAGATGTGATAGTAGTCGAAGACTTGGTAGAAGTCACCAAAAATATTATAGGTGAAAATACGTCACAGAAGTTTAAGTTTTTCGGAGCACTTTACATCTCATTCAGTACATGTTAGACGATTTCTTTAATCGTGTCTCATAAACCAAGATAACCTAATAGTAGGCACCCTCCGGATCCAAAATGTTGAAGTCCTGCAAATATACTACGATCGTGATGTTCCTCTTGATTTTTTGCACACTTACCATCTCAGGGTTTTAGAATAAAGATTTAAGTCCTGTTATGAGATATTATTCCATTTGGATGACAGAAGGTGTATTCTACTGTTTATGTAACCATGTTTCAGAGAGCCTACCGCTGAGTGCACTGGATGCTTACATGCTTAGTTCTAGTTTTTAAGCACACAATCGACAATTCTCCTTTAAAAGCTGATTACATCTTTAAAGCAGTAATTTTTTCCGCATATGAATATCATGTAATGTAGTGTTTGAAAATGATTCAAAACCCTGCAAGTGCATTTTCGGGATATGCAGACAGAAGCAACGTTTGTATTCTAGTCCATTGTAAAAGTATTGACGTTTTTAATGATATAACAATCCAGTACATATCATACTAAGGTGAGTCTCACTTGTTGTGTGATGGTTTACGTTACTATCTGGTTACTGTGATCGAAGTGGGTGAAGCCTAGTTGAGACTTCGCTTCCATCGCCTGAAAATTGAGCTTTTGGGTCAGTGAGCCACATCATACTAAGAGATGATTGTCATCACTCGTCGACTTACGGATATTAAGTAATGGCGGAACAAAATAACTTTCTACAAACTGTATGCTTGTAAAACCACTACCATTAAATCTGTTCGTACATCATCTCTGGAAGGTTGAGTTGCTGCATCACCGTAAATTAGATAAGCCGAGCCTAGTGAAAACCTTTTGTTGTACGTCGTTTTTGGTTTGATTATTCTGAAATTGTAGTCACATTTGAAAGTTAAGGCTGTCAAAAGAAGTCTAAAATCGCATGATGAAACTGATAGGGTGACAAGTTATGACAAACTGTTTTTTCTCAACTGTGGTAGCAAGTATTGGTGACCAGACAACTACAGCTTTCTTTTGCCATCATCTTCCCAGCAACTGTCAAATTTTCTGGATTTAAATCAATTCAGATTATGAATCTTTATTGACTGAGATGATTGAGATAAGTTGTAGATGTTTTTAAGTCCCAGTCTATCATAACTTACGATAAAGTGTAGTAAGAATAGATTGGAGAAACATTAAGGGTTGCTAAACCAGGGCCAGTCTGTATAGAAACGTTTAGGCTTCTTGGTTGGATTTTGGTGGATAACGAAAACTGAGAGACTAAGTGGTCAACTTGAAATCTATCTCATTGGCATGGATGTATTTATGTTTTATCTTTTGGTGTGTAACATCATATTTCTATTCCATTTCTCTCTTTACACTTTAAACCTTTCTTCAACCCGTAATATTATTTTCATTTCTCTGTCCTCTCTGCTCGACTTTTTCTTTGTGCTGAGACGAAGTATGGTAACTGGAACCAATACTCAATCATGCCAGGTTCTGTCGTTTATTTTTAATTTTTTTCCAATCTGGGCTTCAAAACTCATAGAAACTTTCAAACCGGCATCTTTATTTAGTGGAAGGGAGGAAGTGATAAGTGTCGAATAATTATAGGTTCTGAACTCATTTTGACCTCTTCCTTTACTTGCAGAGTGCTCTCTCCCCACTATCTAAATAGAACAGCGTTCATAAGTAGTATAAAGGGACTAAATCCACTTTTCGATAAACAAATAACGCGTTGTTTCATCTTTATAGTAATTGTTGGTTGTTATCCGTGAAAGTTTCTGGAAGTACACCGTGAGATCTTTCTCTTCCTTCCCATTTACACAAAGCCCTAAGTTATTAGTAGTTGAAGGGTGGTTGTGAAGATTCAGCTCACATCAAGATGGACAACTGAAATATGTGTATTCTAGGAATCATTTTGATTATCTGAGATAGCCGTAGTGTGGCGGATTAGTTATGATGCTGGGTGATGATTGAAGATGAAATGAAAATTTGGGCCACGAAAGGATTCAAACCAGTGTCCATCAGGGAAGACCTTTGGGGATTGAAGTAAAATAAAAATTTGGTCAGCAGTCAAACCTCGTAGCTCAGTTGGTAGAGCACTGAGCGGGAAACCAGGTGGTCGCTGGTTCAAATCCCGCCGCTGTCCAAATTTTCGTTTTTCCTTCAATCATCACTCAGTATCGATCTTCTGGTTAGTTTAACTACTCTTCATTTTATTGCATTCACTGTTTCAGTCCCAATCTTCACATACTTTTGGGGATTATTCTCAGTAGTAACTATAAAATTAGCTGCTGATTGTTGCCTAGTGGTTGATACAACTACTGTTTTTCATGGTCATCCCAAAGATTCGTAAATAGTTTGCTTTTGCTTTTCGTTATACTTGAATTCAATCGTTTAGTTCATATTAAGGTTCAGTAATCTGGCTTTTTCAATTAGTGTTTAGAAGTCGCTGTCTTTGCCACTTTCCATAATAGACTAAATATAATAGCAGCAAAGCAGAATAAAACTGCAATCGTTCTGTGACGAAAACTTTTTATTCATCGAGATACATATTCAGACCTCAATTTTCGAAGTTTCCTACCCTACATGCGAAATCGTATGCGTGAATCAACAAACTCAGCTCTTAACTAGATACTTCTAAACTAGTGTCTGTCTTCCATCTATCGTCGTCGATGTCTAACAGCGATATAATTTGTCTATCCATTCATTTGATGTTGGCGACCGTCAAGTCCGACATTATCACCGTATTATGAAAGTAAGTTTTAACATAATCTCAGGGGAATATATTATGCCAGAGTTGTGGCATGCGGAACGTTAGAATTTTATAAAAAAAACCGGGATTGTATTAAAGCTTACTTTTATGATGATTCGATCAAATTGTGTGCTCAAATTTTTCCAGGACATTCGTAAAAGCTGTGGGATGAATATTTACGTTATCTCTATGTTTTTAGTAATTGCTGACCAAAAAGAAATGGGAAAACTGGCTTTTTCAGCTCTTCCACCTTGATGCCTTTTCTTTTCTTTAACAACATTTAACACGCTTTGGTACTTTTTCCATATTAGTAAGTGTTGTCATGGCTTTCATATACTTATTTTAGATATTTTTGCTGAGGTTAATGCGTACTTCAAACAAACCGCGTTTTGAATGGTTCGTCCCAACTTTCTGGATTCAGTTTTTGTAAACAGCTTGTTCATTAATGCCTGCAGAACCCTATAGGAAGGTAAGATCAGAGACTAGAGTTTTTTGTTTGCCGTAGAATTTCAATTGGAATTTTTTGTTTGATTAGTATCAGTTTGCTTATTTAACATGTCTTACACGTTTGATTTTGAATTTTCAACCGATACTTTTGTATTTTCTCATAAAATTTCCATTTTTGTTTGTTAAATATCCTGTGCATCACTGGTAGTGTGTCATAAATGTTCATCACTAACTGGTTCTCAAATGACTCAATTCACATACTTTGTATCACTCTAGATAAATCAGTTTTGTTCAATTTAGCGTTAAGTTTATGACTTATAGTAGCAGAACCTCAGCAGTCTAAAGTATTTGTTCTTTGTCACCGTTGAAATAGGTACGTAAAATAGTTTTGGTTCTTGTCTATCTCACAGTTTGGTTGTAACTGGTTTAAGCTTTACAGTGAGCGCGTGTGCATATTTTTTACCAAATTGGCTAATTATGCATTGAAAATTATCGGCAGTAATATTTATGTAAAAGTCACTAAATCAACGCAAGGCAGCAGCGCTTATATGACCCACTGCTTAGTCAAAAGAATAGTGTTTTGGTCATACAGAAAGTATTCCACTCTATATTACTGGATTTTTTATGGGATATTTTGTGATGGGACGATTGCTGCAAGTATCCTGTTTCTTTTGCTGATATGTTGTTCATTGATGTGGGTAGCTTAGTAAATAGCGTCTTCTGATTGTTTGCATTATGTTTTTTATGTTTCACTCGTTTTATTGTTTCAAGTGACTGAATCAAGTCACTTTATCAATAGTAGGGGTTTTACTCGTTTGTTACCTTATTTCTTGGCTTTTTGTCGATTTTAATGTACTACAGACTATAGGTGAGAGTGGTCATTGGATTTATTTAAACTATACTGAGTGCAGAGAACGAATTTTGATTGTTTGGTCTATGTGAGTGCTATTTTAAAAGGGTTAGATATCAAAATAGGAATTGTTTCAGTAGTCATTTCATGCTCACAACCATCATCACTTAGTTGACCTGTAGCTGTGTATCAGACATTTACAGGTGTTTGTTAGTTTGTATCTTTTCTCCTTGAGACAGTTTGTCTTTGTTGGAATGAAATTATCATATAAAGTTCTGCGTATGCTAGATTTTCAATGTGCTGGTTGCGAGCATATACGTGGTCCATTATTCGTTTTACTTAACACCATTCGTTATGAACTGTCCACGTTCATTGATATGGTCTTCATATACCTCACTCCATTTGTGGTTTCAAATGGTTACATATAAAGATTACGTTAAAAGTTATTAGTCTTCAAGTATCAAGTACGCTCATATCTTTTAAAAATGGCGAATTATGAGCCATCTCATTTTTAATATTCTCTTCTCATGATTCCATTCAGTTTTATGTACAGCGGGCATGTCTCTTAATCCTGATCAAACGAGTGTTACTCCTGATGGCCTTTTTGGGGATCAAGTTCAAATAGAATCGGTTCATCAAGTTGCACGGAACAGTAACCGAGGAAACTTGAGCACATTGGGGATGGCTGCTGGAATGCCGCCTTATGGGACAAATAATCCATCTGCCATGTCTGCTGCAGCAGCTGCTGCTCTTCTGATACAAGCTGCAGCAGGTGGTTCAGCTAATGAATCACCCAACAACGTGGCACTTTCTGGTAGACGTTGTTCAACTTCGAGCCTACTAGAATCACCACAACCATCACCTTTATCTTCATCTGTGATTTCAGTAGCTGCACAACAGGCTGCTTTGGTTGCCGCTCAGGCTATTGCCAGTCCCCGTTCACCCACGGCTAATTCTAATACATCTAATTTTCAAGCGGCAGTGTTATCCTTGGCTTTAGCAGCTTCATCCACGTGCACAACAATCAGTAATTCATCTGGTCCTGAATTTCGTGAATGTCAACGTTCATTACTTGGGAATTCTGCCATGAATGATCTTATTTCTCTTTCTGAACAACATCCGAAATTATTTACTGCACATCCTACATTAGCATCTGTTTTTAGAAGACGTTCTTCCACACTTGCTCCTCCATGTTTCACTAATGTACTTAATCCAGCCTGTTTGGATGTGACACCTAGACATGAATTAAAAAGTGTTTCCAATGATGAATCACAGTTATTATCTTTTTTACCTTCAAACCTGACATCTACTCTTGATCTTGGAGGTTCTCAACTTCTCAACAGTCAGGTTAGTTTAAAGTTTAAGAAATGACTAACACTACTACATTGTACTTGTCATTTATTGGATTACTTACAGTTTAAGTATATTTGCTTGAAATTCTCTTATTATTTCCAGTTTTATTTGTCTATATTCGTTAACTTTGAAATGTAATGTAATTTAATATTAAATCTTAAAAATGGATAAATTTATAAACTACATTATATTACATGTTTGCTACCACTGAAAGTTGAATTGAACACTTTTTCATTCCAAAATGATTTGTTTATTTACTGTTAACTGAAGTTATTATCTTGTTTAGTTAACGGACAGATGTGAATATAAAATTCCCATTAATTTCCAACTGACTGACATCGCTTTCACACACACACACCAAAAAGTAGAAAAAAGTGTCATTCCCTTCATTGATACACATAGCATGTGCTCGTTTCAAAATACAAACTCAGAGATTTCCATCCGCAATAGTAAGCACATTTCAAAATGTAAATAAGCATGTGATCAATGGGTTACAAAAGCAATTTCATGATCTGATTGTCTTGCTCTATGATGGAGTATTTCGATTTGAGAAAATTGGTTCTGTTTTGCAGATTACATATTGTGAAAAAGATGTGAATTTGTAATATTAAAAGACGTGGTTAGATAATTCACTGAGCCTGCATTTAGAATGAAAAGGATGTTGTAGTGATTGACAAGTGCTTTCTCAATACACACTGAATGACCGTTTATTTTCCCAACTATCATTAGATGTACTGGTCAGATAAGCAGAAATCGCAGCATTGTGCATAGCAGCTTACCGTTCAAGTTCGTTATCTGTTACATTATCAAAGCTAGGAAAAATCATTCAAAAGTAAACGATAATACAAAGAGGTTGTGTTACCAATATTAATGAAGAAAGAGATAAACAAGAATTATGAAAAGGGAAGGAGAAGGTACAGAATCAGAATTTCTGTTTTACCATAAAAAAAGTCAATATATGTACATTATTGTGGCCTTTTTTGTCGATCTGACTACTTTGAGTTTATCATTTTGACTATCTGAGATAAGCCATGGTTTGGCAGACTAGTATTGATACTGGTTGATAATTGAAGATGAAATGAAAATCCATACCGCGGCGAGATTCGAGTCGACGACATTCGGGTTTCCGGCCTGGTGCTCTGCCAACTGAGCTCAGTTGGTACATGTTTTAATTTGAAATGGTCAAAAACACATGGCAGCATTAAGTTAGTGCGAGGGATCTTGTTATTTTCTGTATGAATCTGAGTAGAACTGGATGTTTATTTCACCGCTGAAAATATAATTTACTTTTGGTTGATAGTATACTGGGGCATGTCTATTCTCTGACGATTTACGTTATTTCATCAAGAAATCTGATTCTCTTTTAATGCCTTGGAACTATAATACATTTTTTAAGTGATTTTACTAGGTATAAATCCTTGTGGAGCTGTAGCTCATTGGTGTAGACACTTGACTTCCAACTGGTGGGTCATAGGTTTTGAGCCTCTACGTCTACCAACGTCTAGTCATCCATATTTCATTTGGCTTCATATAATTAGATATGACTCGTTGCTTACTTTACAGAAGTGCGCATAGTCACTGAGTGCATTCTGGTTTTTCGACTCTATTCAATTCGACAAAGCTTTATCCACGTACAACAACATCTCTTACTTTTACGCTCGTTAGGTCTGTACATGCTAACACTTTCTTATCATTTTGTTGAACATGTAATGATTTATCCGGCTTTATGTCTTCAGTTCTTTAAAAGGTGTCTGCTTATAATATCTCCTCGTTTCGTGTATTTCTATGTGAATATCAAAAGCTATTTCGTCACCTTAAGTCAAAACATAACTATCAGAAATTACTTACTTTAACTCGAAATGCTTGAATATTTTGATTCCTCTCACTTTGCAAATCGCAATTTTAACCCCCAGAATCTATAAGTGAAAATTGTATTTTAGGCTGTAGATATGTATAGTTTCTATTTTTCAATATACTACTCTGCTAATAAAGAACAGATCATTCACAGTCTAGTTACAAAAAAAAATCATTTCGCCTTTTTTACGCATGCCTGGAATTTGTCAAATTTATCTTTATAATTGGTATGAATGTTTTACTGTCGCTATTCGGTGGTCTAATAGTTCTTAGCACACGGTAAATAAAGCCAAATATGTTGATGATAATTAATGTAAGCTTGTTGTATATCTGTGCTGAGTTAAACCATTACGATATAGGTAGTCTTATTGTCATCTGTGATTCACAAGACTTACTAAATTGTAGCATTTAGTGATACAATGTAGGATCTCATTTTTATCGTTGTTAATGATCTCAAGTTTTTATGGGACAGTATTTCCTTGCCAATAAAATTGGTTGGATTGCCTATAAATTCTACAACTTTACCGTATAGAATAGTGATGAGAATTCCTTTTTATGTCCCAAATGGAAAATTATGAATAACGATTCATTTTGGTGACTAAACATTGAAGCTTAGAGAACACTTAAACTATTGTCATTCTGATCCTGAACTACAAATTTTCACTGTGACCGTGAATTGTTTAACTTCTGTTTGCTATTATTAGTATTGACAACGTGAAGTTATTTCTTGTTGGTCAGTTTAACAAGATTACTTTACAAAGTCTAAGAATTTTTTTTGTTTCAATGATTCAAAGTCTTTTGGTTTACTTAAGTTCAACTGAGACTCATCTTTTTGGGCAAAGTGCAATTTATTTAAATATACTGACACTTTGTATTTGGTTTGAAGTTAGATAATGAGCTAAACCGCTTTCAGAAAAAGCATCTCAGGGCATAGTAATTTTTACACCTTCAATAAGCGAACGGATGTAGTCTACAAAAACGCTTTTATCACTAGGGTCAATTTGAACTAGATTCTTTACTATAAAATTTACGAAGTATATACTCTGCGCTGATTCAATCACTTCATTGAACCCAAACATCACAAATTTAACTGTGCAACTCACCATTCAAATATCGTTTTGCAGTAGTAGGCTGTGAGTCAATTCTGTTATTTACGACTACGTAAGTGTTTGGACCTCGATTTAAGTACTACGGACGACTGGGAATTGGAGTACCTAAATCAATAACTTGAAACCGCTACGGTGATGGAATCATTTAGGCAACAGGATCTTTAAAATATGTTCGATTTCATGGGTTTTAAATACGATTGGATCCTCTTCTGACTCTGAAATAATGGAGAATATTTGTAGCTCAGGTGGATGGTCTTGGTTGTATTGTGTTCTCTGAGCTGGGTTGTTTAATTGTGAAGCTTTCGTCGTCTTTCTCGACAACATCATCAGCACTAACTTCAGTATGAAGTGAGCTGTCACTATCTCTCCGTGAGTGGTTTAGTAGCTTCCCTTGACGATGTGGTCTGTGATTGGTTGTTCCCCTCGATTGTTGTGCCACTGACTATATAGACTTCCTGTTAGCTGTTCCTCTGCTTGACCTTTCTGCCGTTTATCACTTTTTTTTATTGGTTGATAGATCGGATCTATGTCTATACGTCTGTTGATTGCTGACTGACCTGAATGCCAAGCTTCTAGGAATTCTCTGATATTCTTTGTGTTTCCTCTACCCAAAATTTCTACATTGTCGAAATTGTATTCATGTCCATAAGTATCCACGTGGATTGGAATGAGTGATGAAATGTCGTCTGTGACGTTTAATAGCCAATTGATGCTCATGTAGACGAAGCTGAAGAGGGCGGCCACTTTGTCCAATATAGTGTTAACTACAGTTACTGCAGTTGATTTTGTAAGTGATATTCGGTTTGTCTTCTTTGGTTGATGCATCCTTTAATCTGCCTAATAGTGTTTGGAGGGAAATTGTTGGTTTATGAGCCACAGCAATTCCAAGTGGTCTCAGCAATCTTGTTGTGATTTGTGATACATTCTTTGTGTATGGTAGGACGATGCGTTTGTTGATTTCTGTCGATGACTTTGTAGTTGATGATGCACGGGATAGGCATGTTCTGATAAGGTGTTGTGGGTAGCCGTTCTTCTTTAGGGTGGACATTAGGTAATTTTCTTCTTTTCTCCATGGAGTTGTTGTGCTGCAGTGTGTTCTTGCTCTTTTGAATTGAGTCTGCACGCAACTGATTTTGTCTGTTGTTTGGTTGTTGCTATTATAGTTAAGGATTTGGCCACTATATGTTGGCTTCCTGTGCACTTAGGTTTCCAGCTTTCTGGCGTTCTACTTGCCAAACCATCCAGGAACGGTAGTTGGTTGTTCGACTCTTTCTCCATGTCATTAAAAACGTTGTTCATCAAGCTGTGGGCGTTGTCTATATCATCTTATTTAATGATAACAAAACTGTCGTCCACATAGCGAATTTAAATATTTCATTTGATCACAGGTAGGATGATGTCTTCCAGTCTCTGCCTCACTGCTTCTGCAATTAATCCGGATATCGGTGATCTCATTGGAGTTCCTTTCATCTGTTTGTATATCTTGTCGTTGAATTTGAAGTATGTTGTCATTCAAAGGTCGATGAGTTCCATCAGACTTGGCTGACTCTCCTTATGTATGAGGAATGCATTTTCCCCAGATGTTCATTTTGTATTTTCTGTGATGCATATACGTAAAGTTTATTCCCTATTTAGATTGCGAATTTATATCATATTTGTATTATGTATTATTTTTATTCAAATTTATATGAATTCTATCTCACTGTCAGCTTTATACTGACTTTTTCTGTTTCAGCAGTTGGGTCTTTCTGAGTATCCAGAGGATATAGCACCTCAAGGACAAAACTTTCCCTTAGTGCGCCAGTCATCTATTCAAACTTCATTTCTAAATGATAATTTTAGATGTACTGATCAACAGCAGCGTTCAAGTGAATCTTACTTAATGGATATTAACTCGGAAGGTCCCACAAAAATTGCACGTCATTATTTATCAACTTTAGATTCTGAGGACAATACTGATAATTCTCGAAATCCCACTACTGTTTCTCATAGAAGTTACGAAGACTCAAATATTCAATCGTTTTATAAAACTTCACCAAAGTACGATTCACATATAACACATACTTCAGGTGTTCATTCATCCTTTGATCAAAATTCAAATAAATGTAATTCAAGGTATTTTTCTCCGACGCCAACATCAGTTTCAAGTGAACTTGCTCTAGCAACTTGTGCTCCAACCTCACCTCTCAGTTGTTCCTCATTATCGAATTCAGCAACTCCACAACTAAATATTTCACAGTCAATGTTGAATGCAGAGTTAAAAATCCACCAATGGATGACATGAGTGGAGTTACTTCCAGATCATCTATTTCTTGTAGGTCACTAAGAACTAATTGTGGCGCAGAGTGTGATTTTAAAACTGATGAACCAAATCGCAAACGAGAACAACGTCTTTTAAAGAATAGGTATGTGTGTTGTATTGTTTCCTTACTGATTCAAGCTCTATTGTCTTCATTTCTGATTCAAATTTATACTAGTCACATTCTGAACAGTATCAAGCATTAGATTTTACGTCGTATGAAATGCCATGTTGAACCCGTTAATTATTTTTTTTTGAAGTAAACATATATTTCAACGGAGCTAAATGTAACTGTTTGATGCTTATATCGTGTAGTATATAAAGGATATAGTCGTAACATATCCAGTTATAGTTAATTGCATCAAACGCTTACCTTCATACGATTAAATTACAGTCTTTGAATTCGTGATTGCTATGTAGGCGTAAGGAATTATTTAATAACAGAGTTAGAGTTTGGTTTCGAAACCTGTAGGAATATGACTGGTAATCATTCATTCATCACACTAATCCTTCAGAAAAATAATAACAGGTTTGAATAAACTAGAATGAATTCAGACGAATACATGAAAAGTATTGTTCCACAGTACCTTTTTCTTTTCCTAGAAGTAATGCTCATTAGTTTATCTGTTCGAATTTCAGGGATGGGGTGGGGGTCCTGGATTCAACTTCCACTCCACCTACTTCGGCCTGAACAATCAGGTAATATCATAACCGACAACGCGACATATGTGACTCGTAGTTTAGCACATGTACGGGAATGAGTTACATTCCTTTGCTTTATTATTAATATATATTCATGAGTTTTGCTAAGCTAACCAAAATATTGTAAAGTAAATTGCTTGCAATTGATTATGAAGCACAAGTCTTTTTGTTTTATTAATGAAAGACGTCATTTCCCGGAAAATGTTACATAGGGATTTTACTACTTTGGTATTTTCGAGTATTTATTACTAAGAAGAAAGTTTCTTCCAGTGATCGTTATCTATAACCATTCTAAGTGATGTGATCCACTTTTTTCTGAGTAGTCATATCAAAAGGGAAATATGTATGTATTCCTATTTCGTTGAAACAAGGGTAAATAAAGCCATAAAATCGTATCAGAAATACGGTGTGGTTTATTTTACTATTTCCAAAACTAAGTCTGTGTTACTCCATTTTAGTTTGTTTATTAGAAATGTCACACAGTGAAACAGTGTAGTATACTAGATAACGTTTTGGACACAATTTATTGTCCATATTCTCATCAGGTAACTCCACAAAAGGTTCTTAGCGTATATAAATTCATTGGCGAATGCAATCCAACTTACCTATGACTTCAAAAGTGATGAAGGTGAGGTGGGGATGCTGGATTGCAAGATTAAGCGAAAACAAGACGGAAATCTATATGGAATCTTCCCATTCGAATCTCTACTTAGACTTTAAATCATCTCACTCCATCTTAATTAGATGCGTAAGTGATAGGTCAAAAAGCCTAACTAGTAGACGAGAAAGTCTACGACAGGAAATTAGACACTTCAAGGGTAACTTGCATCTCAATAACTACTCACCTAAATTTAGAAATAAATTCGTAAGAAATTGAAAAAAAATTGGCAGCAGTAATACAGCTGTTATTAATAATAGTCCTGCTACTAGTAGTAATAATGGTAACAAGATTGAGAGAGAATTCAAAGCCTCTGCTGTGTTAGCATACAAAGAAGGCATCTCAGAAGCATTGCGAAGAACTGTTAATAAGGCTGGGATTAAGGTGACATTTAAACGAACAAACTCGCTTGGAAACAGGGTTTGTAGGTTAAAAGATCCTGTTGGTCGAATTCGCCAAAGTAATTTGTTGTAGCAAATCCCTTGCAATGCTTGCGAAGTTAAATACATAGGTCGAAATAGTCGACCGGAGTCAGTTAGAATAACAGAGCACGATAACCTAGTTAAGTCAAGATTAATAGATCCTAATAAGATAAGAAAATTAGAAAAAAGCTCGGCTATGGCTACCCACGCAATTACACACAGTCATACAGTAGGGTGTGATAGAGCAACAGTATTAAAAACTTAGTTGGGTGGAAGGGGAGGTTGATAATCGAATCTTTGTTCATAGAAAAAACATCTAATATATGCTATCGAAATGATTTTGCACGTGTCCTATGTGGAAAATCCTATTGCCCTTGTCACAAAGAAGGAGAGGAAATTAGGATTATATAAACTCTGTCTGAAAGTTGTGGAGTTACGTGATATGAATATGGGTAATAAATTTATGTTCGAAACGTTATCCGGTAAACGATACTGTTTCACTACGTGACATCTCTAATAAAGACTAAAATGAAATTAAAATCTACCACATTGCCCAAGTTTTGCTTCTATATTAGGTCTGTGTTACTCATTTGGGATTAGTGTGTTGCGTTTGGAAGGAAGCAACATCTGTTTTAATCTCATTACCGACATAAGTAGATCTCGTTTTTGGGAAATAAGGATTTTTAAGGTTGTATTCCTTACTGCATATTTGTTGCATGCTTTCTGTCGAAGATTATGACTTGGAAACAGTTTGTTGTAGTTTATCCAGTGTAGGACAGACCTACAGAGAATAGAGAGAAAGCGTAGAAATAGCACATATGAAATAGGTCAAAAAATTGTTGAAGTAGACTGTTGAGTTCGAATTTTTTTATATGGGAAAAGGTCCCGAGTGATGATTATCAACAGATTTACAGGTGTTAACGATATATCACAGATCCCCGTATTGCCTAAGCTCATTACATTTCCTTCACGTGATTATAGCAGTTTGCACTATATAATCAGTGGCTATTATTTCAGTTCGTGATAATCAAAAACTGGCGCAACTTTACTGACACCCAAAACTTTACAGACAACCAGTATTCTTAACTACTCTTAACTATGACCGTACTACCACAGCTGCTATGCTTGTGGAATGTGAGTTCTCCATAATCTAGGCTTTCCACTCAAGTATTCATCAAATCCAGACCATATTACTTATGAATATCATCCTGAGAGTTTTCAGGCTCAAATTGACACTTCTTTTGTAACCAGCTAAACTTTGTCAAAGTATTTTCTAAACATTCCTGTCATTTGCTAACCTTCACCCTTCTGAGCGATTTTCGAGTTAAGGAACCTAAAGATTTCGTGAACCATGTATATATATATATATATATATATATATATATATATATATATATATAATCAATTCCGAACATTTTTTATTCCTCAGCATCCGTTTTTTATCTAATGTTTCTTAATGATTAGCTTACTGCAATCACTGATGATTCTTCAGTGTTATTTTCCGGCTTTCTGTTTTTAGAGAGGCTGCGAGAGAATGTCGTAGAAAAAAGAAAGAATATGTAAAATGTCTGGAAGCTCGAGTCAGTCTTCTAGAAAGCCAGAACCAACAGTTAATTGAGGAACTTCAAAAAGTGAAAGCACTTTGTTTTAAAGAGTTATGTGGTTTGGGATTAAATAGCTCCACAGCTGCATGCGCTGCCGCGGTCTTGGCTGCTGTGACTTCAGTGTCCGCTAGCTATTCGGGTTCAGACGCTGCAGATACCTCAGGGCTGGATTCGACTGCCCGATTTGCGTCGGAATCTGATCGAAGTATGTGTGATGGAACTGCTGAAGTGCATCAAATATCATCAGACTACGGAGAGGAAATACAGCAGATAAGTGAAAACTCACGATCTACACGTCATCGTCGGCGTTCCGTTTTCACTGCACCTAAATTATCACCGTATTCAACTCAAACTACCTGGTTAAGTCCATATTCGTTGAAATGTTCTGAGCCATCCCCAAACATAACGTGTGGTACTCCTCATGTGAATCGTTCATCTGTAGATGAACTCTCATCACACTCTTGTTTGTCAAAGTTGCATGATTCAAAAACCGATTTTCCGCATAATTCTGTTCCGATTTCTTACACGCCCCCAGTCGAAACAGATACAGTCAGTCCTCATTCAAGCGAACATTTGCAACATCACTGTACTGAACCACACTCACTTATAATTGAAAGCAAAATCGATGGTAACCGACTTCCTCAACACTCAACGCATGATATATCCAACGAATCAACGAACTGGAAATCACCACAGTATCAAAACAGTGGTACTGCCTACCAACATCCTCGGTACGCGGCTAAAAGAGCTTACCGTAATGTGATGTTTAATTCATCCAATATATGTGGAGAATCTGAAATAAAGACAGATTCTATTGATGATAAACGATTTTGTAAACCAGGAAATGATGTTGATGCTGTCACTGGGGCAGCAGTGATCTTAGCTGCTGCAGCTGCAATGGTTGCAGAATCTGAGTCATCTGCTCCAGAATCTAGACTTTCTGTTTAAGTATGCATGAAATCCAGATCATATTATTTATGAATATCTACCTGCGTCTTTCTAAATGAATAGGTTCTAATTAACATATTTATGGTGGGTTTTCTTTTAAGAATACTCTATAAGCAGCAAACATTTCACGCAATGATAATTTCTTAATTTCAATGTCATTAAAGAGTTAATCTATGCTTTATGTGGATGTATTATGTCTTCCTTCATGAGTTTGCCTTTCTTATTTTATGCTGTTCTGTTTTCTAATATACTAATTTTATTAAAGTACAGCTTTCTTAATTGTTCAAAATCATTCCCCTCGCTGATTCCCCATCAGAGTTTTTGTGAAACAGAAATTTATTTGTCCTTCAAAACACTAAGCCATTGTCAGTGGTTTTAAAAATAAACAAAATTACTTGTGCTGTTCGCTTCATCTTTTTTAATTTTGGTGGCTTCATCATAAATTCATCTATTGTAATTAATTTGTATTTTACACCTTGTACTCTTTTCTGTTTGAATCAAACATCCTGAAAGACCACCTATTGTCAAAAAAGATTCTAATTCAACTTGATTGTCTTGTTACATTTTCATCAAGCGCCTATGAATCATTTATCTGTCATTCTTCATATATTTACTTATTTCTTTTCCAGGTGTGTAGCTTCTCAATGTCTTTCGTATTATTTGTTATTTTTCATATCATGCTTAAAGAGGGGGGGGGGGATGTTCAGTAAAAAAAAAGAAAAGATAAATAGCAGTAATGCTTCAGCTATGACTATTGTAGTTCATTCGCCATTTCCTTGCCTCGTTGTCATGATATCACCTACAGTGTGGTTTGTGTTTCTGTCTACATGTACATATACATATATATATATATATACAAAATGTGTGTAGTTCAACATTTTTTACCCGGTTTTTTATCCAAGTAATTTCTGCTTTTATTTTATCAAAAGCGCCATTCTCATTTACTGCTAATTATTTCTTTTTTTTCCATATAAATTGCTTTTGTGAATTGAATACTTGATTATGAATTAAAAACCTTAGTCAAGAATACTAATGTTTCATCGGTTCACATAGAATACCGGTATAATTTTCAATAATTTAACAGAATTTTCCAATGAATTAGTCTCGCGTGTTCAGAATTTTGTCTATTCTTGCTAAATCCGACAAACCTATGATGAAAGTTAATTTTCGAAGAAAAAAGTTATAAATTTCAATTTATGAAGTAATAAGCTAACTACTTTCGGTTATTACTTTCTGGAGTCAGCTGATTCCTAGTTAATAAAAGTTTAAACATTACGTTTAAATTGATACATTTATAGTGAAGTTTAATCAAATTCTATTTTGTAGGTTATTTATAATAACTGATGTTTGTGCAGATGTTTAAGCTTAGAATGCTTCCACTGAATTAATCATTCGGTTAATTTGTGAGTAAAAGATCACACTTAAAGTATTTCTTCTCAAGGTGTGTAATCTTTTAACATCTTACGAACACAATACCGGCTGTAACTTATTCAAATTTTTGGAGAGAAGCATTGTTAGTGATTAGTTAAAGTACGTCGTGAAGTGTAAAGCGTAATATTTCTATCAAGTGTAAATGAACAGATTTTAATGCATGTCTTTCTTTATATGGAACTAATTTTCTTTGGCTTTCACGTTACTCGTTGAATTCAAATATCGGATCTGACGGTTACAGAAGAGAATTCACTGTTAAGATAATATTTTCTGTTCGCAAATAACCAATAATATACATCAATACGTCACTATTAGTTAATATGAATATAGGTTTGATGACTTCTGTATTTCTTTAGTAATAAATACTTGACATGTCAGCACCATAGTTTACTTTTTGACAACAATTATGCTTTAAATAGTAGTTGAATTCACTGATATAATAGTTTCTTTCATTGCATATATGACTCATAACATGCACTTCCACTTGTGACTGCTTATGCTTGTTATTTTACTCGAAATCTGGTGGAAGATGGAACAAAAGTGACACACTAACTAACATGACAATGATACTTCTCTTTCACTCGATCATGTGTGAAATGCCGTTCACAAGTTGTTGTGGCCAAGCACGATGGTGATTATCCGAGTTCTTTTGAAATACTTCTAATACGAAATGCTAAAATCAACAAAAGCCTAGTGATAAATGGTAGTGAGTTAAGGCTTCTGGGTTATTCTTGGTTTGCAAAAGAATTTGTATGAATGTGCGATGAATTCTGCGGATGTAAAGAAAACAAGTCAGAAAAGACCAAAAGTAGGGCGTAACAGCTTGTTCAAGCTTTTGAGGAGGAGTATACTTACTGATTTACCCGGCAGAAGTTTAGCTGTATGCCATATTCCCTCATACGTTGATTCTTGATGCATGAGTTACGCTCTGATAATCTTTATGGAACATAAGTTCTTGAGAGTTAGGAATTATTGGAGAGTATGCTTTGATACCCCATGGTGCATACTATCGATGAAACATAATGTGCAACTCATTAATCATGTACACGTCTCTACATTAGGCAGTGACGTACACCTGTCGTGTGCGGGCTATCGATACTACCTGGATGTTGGAGTGTGGTTCGAACTCGACTCAGATTAATCATCAAACGCCTAGTCCGAAGATCCAAACCCCACCCTGCCCAAATAATTAAGGATTTCTTAGGGATTATGAAAACAATAACATGTAACCTATATTTTTAATGCGGGGTGTTGACAGATTGCATGGAGGTATGACTCACTGGCATAAGCAATTGACTTTCAAACAATAACTTCCAGGTTGAAGCACCGTCTCACCTACTTCAACCTTACCTATCACATAGTGTTATAGACCATCAAACTAATTTGGCCTCATTGTTTAGCACAAACGCTTTCATTGGATTGAATTGCAATAATAAAAAAAAGGAACAATACTTGCATGTATTTATTTTACCTGTAGCTTTTGAATTAATTGAGTCACCTACGTAAAACCATGTCTAAAAAATCAATTTTTCATGAGAATTAGTTAGTGTATCACTGCGGTAGAAAATTAACTGTTTAAATCACGTTTACAAAAAAGTGTTGGAATTCCAATCATTTTTTTAAATTTCGTTATTGTTAAGAAACAGGAGTGAATCAAACTTCATTTTACTGGAATCATTAAATCTGTAGTGATATCTTTAGAGGACAGAATGATATAATTGTACTTAAACTACAGTTCAATTTTCATAGTTTCAGAAAACCATAAGGAATACTGGTTAACTGTTTGTTTATCAGTACAACCCTTATCTCTTGTGAATATCAAATGTTACAGCTTACTATTAAATCAAATAACAGTTGGATTGAATGACCAGCCTTGATGAAACCATTTACAGTTTATATTTTCCTCTGAATATTTGAAACTGAAAAACATTTAAAGAATTCGATTACAACTATTTATCATTAGGGCAAAGTGTTGATTTTGGTTGTTTAGACCTTACATTGCAATCTATGTACGAATTATTCACTAGACGGTGATTGTTTCAGTTATCAAGCACTATATGTTCAACACTGCCTGGAGTCTATGTGTCGCCATTATGATGATACTGCTTAGCGTTAAATATCAGGAAGTACAGTACCCACTTTTCATGTTTTTTAGCATTCACCTACAACGTACGTTCGCCACCATGGATGAACTGATACTTTCTTAGTGATTTGAATATGTATCACTCAGTTCAAGTAGTATTCTTAACGTACAATTGAGGAATTTACCATTATTCAACCAAAAAAAGGAAATTGCTTTTCACTTAACAGTTAAATCGTGGAAATAGCATAATAAGAAAACATTTTAAGATCTTAGCGAGAATTTTTCTTTGTACAACACAAAGTTACGTTGCTTAGAGGTGATAAAATACTTTTTTTCATCCTAATATTATTTTCTGTTTCAGTGTGAGAAATATTTCATTCATGTAGATAAACATTCCTTTTTGATTTTCATGTTGAAAAACAGAAGATATATTAATTTGGCATCATGTTTTCTGTGAAGAATTGCGTAGGCAGTCAGTTTTTGTTACTATACGGCAAGAAAAATGTATCTGTTTTCGGTTTAAGAGACCTCATACACTTAGTGATGTAATGTCTGTTTCAAACTTCTTACTGAGAATAAATATGCAAAGATTCTTAAGGTGTCTTGTCGACAAATGACTTTTGTCTACCCATCTGAATCGGTATAGTTTAGGACTAATACTAATAATATATGGTAATTTGCTTGGCTGCGGCTAGTAGAGGAATGTTGTTCTCACCGAGACTCGAACCTCGTTTCCGTCGCTTCGAACACCACAGTGTTGTTCGCTGAACCACGAAGGTACTCACTGGGGTGCAGGCGCATCCAGCTGACGAGTCCCAAGTAGGACGAAACGTGCATCCTGGATTCCTCTGATAGCCACAAGGAAGCAAATTACCATAATTAATATTCGGGCAATATCGAGGCATCCTCACAGAAGCCCATATACCAATGGAGGTCGAACAGTTCGATCCAGTATAACAACGGAGAGTTACAAGCATATCAATAAATAGTAACTAATTTATTCTTGCAAATACAAGTACACACCAGTTTACATGCGTGACCATACACTTGTACCAGTTTGACACTTGGCTGGTAAAGCTTCATTGCTCAAAGATAATCAGCAGGTTTATATAAGTAGAATTAATGTACAGAACAGATAATGGATATCCATGGTTTCTACACATGTCAGTTTTTCACGAGGATGAATTTCATTCGTGTTTCCACGGGACAAGAGGAACCAGTGGTTGGAGACTCTAGGTGATATGGCTCAGAACCGAAGTCAGTGGCGCAGATGTATACACACATTATCCTCATCTTAACAACGCTATACCGAATCTCACTATTTTGTCACTCCTCTTTCCTTTCTTCTCGTACTTTATATTTCTTTTGACTGCATTCACTTATCTTCATCCTTCACCTCACTACCTTTTTACTTGATGTGCTGATATGAGGTGTGGCAACTCGGACCGTTACGCAGTAATGCTTGGTCCTATGTTGATAATGATGATGATGACACATGTCAGTTTTTCACGAGGATGAATTTCATTCGTGTTTCCCGAAAGAAAGAAATCTAAGAAGAATGTTACAAACCTTGTTGGAAATAATTCACTTTAAATACAAAGAAAGATGATAACATGTACACCATATAACTTATCGAAAATTGTCTGATTAGTTGTATCTTAAAAGCTCAAAGTAGGAGAATATCTATGTTACGATAATTATTATTGTTTTATTATTAGTCCCTTGGGTTCCTAGTGGAACATAGGGCTTCAGTAGCACATCTCCAGTGACCTCTGTTCTCTGAGATCTTTTGAACCTGGCTCCACGACAGCCCACAACCTCTCATTTCCTCCTCGCACGACCTCCTCCATGTCACCCTCACCTCGGACGTCCAACTCGTCGCTTCCCATAGGGATTCCACTCGAGCAATTGGCCTGACGCGTGATGTCCCCAGTCGGCCTTCTCAATGCATGTCCAATCCATCTCCACTTCTTCCTGCATATTTGTTGCGTGATAGGTTCTTGGTTGGTTCGTTCCCAGAGCTCCTTGTTGCTTATTCTTTCTGCCAATCCATCTGATCTTCAGTAGTGAGCCAGCGTAGGTGGCAGTTGTTGATGAATGTCTGTAGTTTATTGGAAATGCCTTTCGTGACGCGCCAAGTTTCTGAACCATACAGAAGCACTGACTTGACTGAATTGGTGTTGAAAATCCGTATCTTGTTCCGCATGCTGCCTAGACAAATACAGTAAGTATACGAAAGGGGTGGAGAATAGGAAAAGGGGTAGGAAAAAACAAACAAACAACTGAATGACAAAGTTATTAACTAAGTCTACCCTAGCCAAGGGAAAGATATGAGATGTACAAATTTCTTCTGGATACAAAGACTAGGATTATTAGCTCAAATTCCCACAGCTTCTGCTATGTGTAGAAGATGAGTTTGAATACCTTTCGAAAGATGAGATAGTATGCGCTGAATAATTGTGGGGCATTGTTCTTATCTACCAAGTGACCACTATGAATGAGGTGAGATAGAACTGAGCCTCTGATGGATTTTATTTGTCCGTTTCTCAACTATGAAGGTAGATGCTCAGCAACGTTTGTTAAATTGTCTAGTAGTATGCTCTATATAGCTTTCTCCACAGGAGCAGCTAAACCTGTAAATATATACAGAAATGGCAACATTAGATAACTTATCTTTTGTCTGAGCAGCAGCAGTTGGTCAATTGTAAAATGATAGAGAAAGTTGTGCGGCGTAGAAGGTCCTTTTAATGGCTCTAGAGAGTCTCTGATATAAAACTTCTCCGGCCACATCCTCATTAAATTGCAATTTCATAAACAAAGGTTTCTTTTGTGTGGTAATAATACTAGGTTTGTTCTCCCTGGCTCTGTCCATGCGTCGTTTTATGAAACTGTTAGGGTAGCCCATTTCAACCAATGAATTACGGATACAATCTAACTCCTTGTGTACCAGATCATTCGAACATATTATTCACCAGGCATTTAACGAGGTTTACTTTGTACCGAATTGGTACATGACTTAGAAAATGTGCATGCTGACTTATAGATGTGGTCTTCCTGTAAAAACATCTGCTGAGTGAACTATCTTCTCTTCTCCTTAGCAAGACATCCAAGAAGTGTAGTTTACTGATATTTTCTTCCTCACAAATGAAAGTGAGCGAAAGATGCACTTCATTAAATTTTCTTAATACCTCCTTTGTATCCACATTCTGATCCAGGATAATGAATATGTTGTCAACATAACGGTGATACATAGTCATCTCCTTAATGACCCCTTTCAATGCTCCATTCTTCAGT